GGAAACAACAGGCGTCTTGGGTGCCTGTCCCCCAACCGGAGCTACTGGCGGCTCCTCAGTCGTTACTCGGACAGGTGCTCTGGCGGCAGCACGTGCCCATCCTCGTCCTATGCCCCAGCCCCAACCTCGCGCTGCTCTAGCAGAGGGCACGAGTGTCTGATCATCGTATCCAGCAGTGCGTTTCCTTACCATCTGTGAGAGAATAGAAAAAAAAAAGATTCAAATTTCGAAGTCAATAAATTCGCACGATAAGGAATCAAGGAAGTGGAATTTCCTAACAGTTCCATAGCTTCTCGAAGATAAGTACAAATGTCTCTGTATTGATCCGCAAGACTACTAAACTTGCTTATGACTCATAATATCTATGAACCTAGAGCTTTGATACCAACTTGTCACGACCCCAAAATCCCACCTTAGGATGTCGTGATGGCACCTAGTCTCTAAGACTAGGTAAGCCTAAATAACAAGAAAATTAGACAAAAGAAATAACGACTAGAAACATGATATAACCTAATAAGTCTCATAATAATCTCCATACTGAATTGTAGTTACAATACTCCCAAAACTCGGTGAAACTGAGTCATACGCTCTACAGAAATGTACTAAAATCTCTAATACAACACTGTCTGAATAAAGGATAAACAGTAATAAGAGAATGGCGGAAGGTGATACCACAACGGTACCCAGTAAGTATCAAACCTAACCTTGGAAGGGTACTGATGAGGCCAGGTCATGACATCTACTAGGACAAGATAAATTGTACAGAGTATAATAAAGACTAATAACATAAAACGAGAAAATAAATAATAACAAGGCAGTTCGATAATGTAGGCTAATAACCAAATTTAAGGCAAGAACGGCAATGAGAAGTGAACACATGATGAGAACAACAAGTAATCAAATACGGGCAAATACAAATAAGACAATGAAGAAAACAACAAGAACGGTCAAAACAACAACCTTTTTAACATGGGATATATAACAAGAATCACAACCGAGGTACCATGCCTAATATTCACGTTTCACAATTTCAATCACAATCTTTCCTTATATCACCGCGTGAGCCTTGCATTTATTTTTAAAAATATTTTTCCGAAATAGCTACACGCATTTTAGCCCCCCAATCTCACCGCGTGGCTTCAAATAATTCCCTTACTAGCAACAAGCGTATAAATACCACCTTATCTCAAAACATATGTATCAACCCCTATCCTTATATCACCGCATGTGTATCAATATCACAACATAATAGTCAACTCGCACCACATGTGCCCATATGCCACAACACTTGCCAAAATCAACAATACCAATGTTACCACAATGTATAGCCCATGGCTCAACCATAATGTGTACAAGAATCTCAATAATAACAAAATGAATGAGAAATACTCAACAAGGAAAGATATCTCAAAATCAACAACTTCAACCTCAATGTGATAATAGCTTTCACAACTTCAACGTCAATAACCCAACAAGAAGATAATTCCCACGAAATAACAACTTCAAGTAAGAGTAATACAACAATAAAAGAGGTATAAGATAATAAGGGCGGTAACAACTTTAACTAAAGCATATAAGAGCAAATATAACAAAAGAGATGGAACAAGTGCTAACAACGTCAAACAGAGCATGTAAGAGCTAATAATGAAAGATATAACATGTTATGACAAATTCAATTAAATTCACGGTCAAATATCACATATAGCTCGTGTACACACTCTTCACCTCGCGTACACGTCTTCCATGTAATACAAATAACACAATCAATCCAAATCTTAAGGGGTAGTTCCTCCACACAAAGTTAGGCAAGATACTTACCTTAACTAGGCCAAATCAACCCTCGTAAATAGCTTTCCCCCTACAATTCGCCTCCACACACTTCAAATCTAACCAAAAAATGACTTAATAACATCAAACAATGTAAGAGAAACCAATTACGATAGATAAAGCTATGATCTTTACACATTTCCCAAAAAGTCAACAAAAATTAATCCCGAACCCGCCCGGTCAAAACCCGGGTCCAAGGGTAGATTTACACTACCCATAACCCCATGAGTTTGTTTTCAAATCCGAGTCCAAATCGACTCTCAAAACTCAAATCTTCATTTTTCAAAACTTTGACAAAAATTTCCAAAATTACTCTTTGATTCTTATTAAATTTGATGTTAAATCTAAAATATAATCATGAAATATAGTTGGAAATTGATTAAAATCACTTACCCAATATTTGTATATGAAAATCCCCTCACCAAATCGCCTCCGACTGAGCCTAGAGTTCTAAAATGAGAGAAAGTGGTATGAAATCCCGACTTTCTACCTTTTTTCAGTTGCAGATGTCGCAATTACGAAGAATTTTTCATAAATGCGGCACTGAGAGACTATGGGGGAAGTCGTAAATGCTACATGGGCTTCGCAATTGCGAAGCCTGCTTCCCTCGTAAATGCGACAAAATCAACGCAAATGCGAACATACCTAGCCCAGGTACCACTTCGCAAATGAGACCCAAGCATCGCAAATGCGACACTTGAGACCCCTCGCTAAGGTCACAATTGCGATGATGGTGTTCGCAATTGCGACACTTGAGGCATTAGCACACCAGCAATGTAGATTCAGTCCAAAACCATTTTGAAACACGTCCGAAACTCACCCGAGCTCTCGGGGCTCCAAGTCAAATATCCGCACAAGTCTAAAAATATAATACGAACCCGCTCGCGTGATAAAAATACAAAAATAACATCTAGAACTACAAATCGGACATCAAAACGCATGAATTTCAAAGAAATGTTCAAGAACCTCTAGAATTGCAACCAATTGTCTGAATCCTAACAAATCAACTCCAAAAGACACCAAATTTTGCAAACAAGTTCTAAATAGCATAACAGACCTATTCCAAATCCCAAAACTAAATTCTGAACCCGATAGCCAAAAGTCAACCTACGGCCAAACTTGAGAAAATCTTCTAAACCTCAAATTGTCAACTTTCGGGAAAACAACACAAATCAACCTACGGACCTCTGAATTCGATTTTGGGCATACGCCCAAATCCCAAATCACGATACGAACCTATCGGAGCTATCAAAATACTATTCTGGAGTCATTTTCACAAAAGTCCAATTTTGGTCAACATTCCTAACTTAGGTTCCTTAGCCAAGAACCAAAGGGTTCAAATCAACCCAAAAACTTTCCGGAACGAAACTAACCAACCCCGCAAGCCATAAAACCACAAATACACATGTCTAAAGCATCAAAAGGGGAAACAGGGTTCAAATACACAAAATGACCGGTCGGGGCGTTAGAAGAACATTGAGTCTTTAAACTTCAAAATCCCGAAATCTCCATACCTGATCTAACTCTCCCACTTAAATGACCGACACATCACGCATACTCAATCCCATCATGCAAAATACTTCTATATATATTCCGCATCAAGTAGTAAAATCTGAACGTCAGCGGTCATGTAATGATGCAGCCGATCATTTTGTGTATTTGAGCCTCGTTTTCCCTATTTGATGATCCCCTTATGTTTGTGTATTATTTAGTGTCTTAAGTAGGTTTCGCATCGGCAAGGGTTTTTCTGCAGATGCGGTGTCATAGAAGCGACAGTTGGGTCCGCAGAAGCGGTAATCGCTCGGCAGAATATTATAATCGAGGGTTTGGCTTCATTTTTCATATTTAGAGATTGGAAGCTCGGTTTGGGGCAATCTTTTTGGCGATTTTCACCTACTTGGATTGAGTACGTGTTCTTAACTCAGATTTGATTATTATTCCTGATTATATCTTTGATTTTGGCTTTTGGTTGATGAAATCTGAGGGAGAAATTGGGGTTTTTGTGCTAGAATTTTGGAGAGTAATTATTTGGGATTTGAACCTCGATTTGAATTCGGATTTGGGTGAATCTTATATATTTGGACTCATGTTGAGATGTGTGAACACAATTTGTTTTTTTTTTCCGATTTTCGGGGTGCGGGCCCGAGATAATAAAAAAAGAAAAGTTAGTATATTTGGATGAATAGCGAAATTGTTGTATCCTACGGTGGGTGCCAAATTATTTAACCCAAAATTTAATTTTTAAGACAAAGCAATTAAATTTATAATTGAGGGCTGAAAGGAGCAGATTCAATCCAAAAAATAACTAATTATAGAGAATGAAATGATGAGTTGTAAAGCAAGACGAGAAACTAATATTATTTGATGGCCGCGTGGAGCTTGAATGTTTGGAGCCGTATCTACTATAGAGCTTGTAAGATCGCTTAAGGTGAAAATAATAGCCTTTCAAGTAATGATAGTGATTCAAGAGATTATAGATTGTTCTTGCAAACGAACAAGTGTTAATTTGTTTATTATCTTTACCTAGTTAGGATATATGAAGAAGATAGCATTTGCGTACCGCCGGTGTCTTCATAAAGGGAAAAGACCCAAATATTGACATCAATAAACGAATAAAACAAAATCGGGGTTAACCATAATTCTGAGCAAAGCAGGCAGTTAGAGCCTTTTGACCCTGGGTTCACCATACCAAGCGTACAACATCATAATTAATACGTAGTAACTTAGGGGTCGTTAGGTTGATTGTTAGAGTTATGTAGGTAATAGTAATATATGAATTAGTCATGCAGGATTTAGTTACGTTGTGATTAGTTATGCAAGGATTAGTTATGTAGGGATTAGTTATGCGAGATTTTATTATGCGAAAATTAGCTGTATAAGGATTAGTAATATAGAAATGTAGTTTATTCTATTAAAAGTATATTTTAGATTTATTTTTAAACCGTATAAATTATTTCACGTTCTACCCTACATAAATAATATATAGATTCCCTTATAACTTATACACATGTTAGTAATACGAAAAAAAAAATATGAACCAAATATTGTATCAGTAATAATGTATTTTTTTCCAAGTTTGTAATGCTAGTTTTAACAAATGGATAACTCATCTCTAATCGACTATGAAACGACCCTAAGTAATTAATGCACGTCTCTGACTAATAGCCAATCTTGTTTCAAATCTTCCACCTTAGCCTTTATTTTGTCAGTACCAGCACTTAGCTTCAATTTGTAATTGTTTAAAAATTGATTGAGAGCATAGGGTGATGATGGGCGAAGAAGGTCGGAAAGAAGCAATGGAGAGTCTATCTCTTGACGACGATGACGACGATAACAAATCGACGTCCAAATCCTACTCTAATTACCGAAGTGCCATGACTTCCCTTTCCGATTCCCACCATCCTCTCTCCCCGTCAGTCGTCGCTACACCTGCCGATTCCGATCCCTTGTCTGAAACTTCCTCTATTCAACCCCCTTCTCCTTATGCCGACATTGTTGAAGAACATAACGGCATCCAAAACCCTAACGACGACTCGACAATGCCGGAGATACCTCCCTCTTTAAACTTGGAGTATTTGAATATCACGGTTTCAGATCCGCACAAGGAAATGGAATCGGGGTCAATTGTTCCCGGCAGTAATACTTACGTTACCTACTTAATCACTACGAAAACCAATTTACCCGATTACGGAGGATCCGATTTCAGCGTTCGGAGACGGTTCAAAGACGTGGTTACGTTATCGGATCGATTGAGCGAAGGTTACAGAGGGTATTTCATTCCTCCGAGGCCAGATAAGAGTGTAGTGGAGAGTCAAGTGATGCAAAAGCAAGAGTTCGTGGAGCAGAGAAGATCCGCACTGGAGAAGTACTTGCAGAAGCTTGCATCACATCCGGTGATCAAGAAGAGTGATGAATTGAGAGTGTTTTTGCAGGTGGACGGTAATCTTCCTTTGCCTACGACCACTGATGTGGCATCTAGGGTTTTGGATGGAGCAGTGAAGTTGCCCAAGCAGTTGTTCGGAGGGGACTCAGGGGGGAATGTGATTGGGCCGCAGGATGTTGTGCAACCCGCTAAAGGTGGCAGGGATTTGCTGAGGTTGTTCAAGGAGTTGAAGCAGTCTGTTGCGAATGATTGGGGCGGGTCAAAGTCACTTGTGGAGGAGGAGGATAAGGATTTCCAGGAAAAGAAACAGCGGTTGCAAAATCTTGAGCTGCAACTAAGTAATGCATCAAAACAGGTATCTCATTTCGATTTAAGTTATATGCTGACACTGTAATTAAACTTATTTTAGCAGGTTACGTAATAGTATTTATTATGGTTACCTGCATTTAACTTTTATGCGACCTGATTGTGTAGATATGTTTTGCACCATGGCGCATAGAACTTAAAACTCTTTTCATTTCCCTATTCGCCAATTATACTATTTCTAATTCTAATTCTACATATTTTTGTGCTTTTATTTTCAATCCGAGTTTATTAGTGTCACATTTTCCTGTAGGAGTATAATGACACTGGTCTAACCAGAATTCTCAAGTAGCTAAATGGTTTTGTTACCATTGTCAAAAAAAAAAAAGGTAGCTCAATGGTTTACAAATTTTGTTCCTGAAATGGAACATGTATTGGTTTGCATATTACCCATTGAGTTCTGTGAACATTGTTCTGTTTGTTATTAGTTAATCTTTTATAATTTTATTCCAAATTAGGCCGAATTACTCGTGAAAGCTCAGCAAGATATGGGGGAGACGATTGGAGAACTGGGGCTAACATTTATTAAGTTGACGAAATTTGAGAATGAGCGAGCTACGTTGAGCTCTCAGAGAGAACGCGCAGCTGATATGAAAAATGTGGCTACTGTGGCTGTTAAAGCTAGCAGATTGTATCGGGAGTTGAATTCACAGACAGTGAAGCATTTGGTAACCATTTTATCCTTTAGAACAGACCTTATGTTTATAAGAGTGGGCCTTGTTTAAAACACTCATTTCTCTTTGAATTATATACTAGTTTCTAAACGCGTGCATTGCACATGAATTCCACTTCAATTGGTACAAAGTTTTCAATACGACTGAAATATTAGTAAAACATGTGCATGAGATATAAACATTTAAAGGAAAAAAAAATATAAGCTCAAAATGATGAATAAGGATCCTATAGTGGCTGAAATCAAACTGATCGAAACTTATGCAGAAGAACGTTTATTTTAGTTAGGTAGGTACGATATGTAATTAGTTACATTGATTTTGATGAAGTACAAACATGTGATATGATCGGATCTCGCCTAATACTTCTTTATAAACAGCGTTTTATTTTCATGTGTTATTCTGACTTCTTGGTTTTTCTGTCATGTCCAATACTTTTGTTGTGATAGGTATCCTCTTGAAAGTTGCAACTATCACTAATATATGGTTGTGATCTATATATCTGAAGATAGCTATAACTGTAAGTTTATTAACAACTTTGTTTTTGAAATCATCTCAAACTGTACCATCGCAACTAATAATAACAAGTTACACAGGCTATTCGTCTAAACAAGAATGTTGAGTTTTATGAGTATAGTTGTGAAGATATATTTAAGAGGAGAAACAACCACAGAAATCAGCAAAACAATTATACAAAGCAGCAAAAAATGCAACATATTTGCGTGAGTTAACAATTGCATCTTCGCTCTCCGAGTTATAGGTGACAAACATGCAGGACTAATTAAAAGAAAAAAAAGTTTTCAGAAAGAGTTAATCACTTTCAAAGCATGCCTAGGTGTTCGAGCAAAGTCTATTTTAACACGATAAACTTTATGCTCAAGAAGTAGTGAATCTATTCTACTTCTATTAAACAAGAGAATTAGGTTAAATGAATTACCAAAAAGTACATAGGCCGAACCAGATTTGACTGTTGCAGAGCCAAAGAAGAGTACTTTGTAAATGGATTGCCATGAATATACGGGTTGATTTTTTCATTAGCAACTAAAGGAGTAGAAGAGTCACTAAAGTGAATGCTAGATTTCTTCAACTCCCAAGAAAAGTTGATCTAGGAATTACAATCATTAAAAGCAAATGCCTAAATTTAATATACAAACTATGAACATGTAGGGACTAACTTTTACGTTTTATTTAAACTGCATANATATATATATATTATTTATGATATATGATATGATATGATGATTAAAGAAACAAATTCCATGAATGGACTCCGGACCTTACCTTTTAATACTCGAATTATATGTATTGCAGGATATTCTACACGAACACCTGAGTTTAATGTTGGGCGTACACCATGCATTTTCAGACCGGTCAAGTGCTTTATTGACAGTGCAGACTCTCATTTCGGAATTGTCTTCTTTAAGTTCAAGAGCAGAGAAACTTGAAACAGCAACTTCTAAGATATTTGGAGGTGATAAATCAAGAGTTCGAAAGTCGGAAGAGTTAAAAGATGCCATTAGGGTCACTGAAGATGCCAAAAGCTGTGCCATCAGAGAATATGAGCGCATTAAGGTATTTAGAATTAGCTCATGGCGTCTGCGGTTGGTTCATTTAATGTTTGTTTCATTGCCATTGTGTGCTCTACTAGTTCTGCCTTACATTCTACGTCTTTTGTTGTTTGAAAAGTGGCTTATTGTCATTGGATAACTTCAAATTTACTACTGTTTGTGTTGCTGAAGTGATGTTATATTGATTACCCCAATTAGCTAAAGCAAACTTTCTCATTGGTTATTTGAGATATGCAGTGCATTTCATCTTGTTGGAGGTGATTAAAAATCCTTGTCTCTTATTACCTTAGGTCTCTTATGATATTTAGCGATTCATGTTGAAAATCCTTATGAATGATTCCTGTTAGATAATTTTGGTAAATTGCTAAAATGGCCCAGAGTTGAACTTACCCCAAGTTTCAAATATTAGCAGACTGAAACAAGTCGCTTAGTCTGTTGATTACAGCTCATTCTTCTTTGAATCTTTCTAGTGACATGGCACATTTGTTCTAACCTTGCAGACCTAATCTTTATCTTAAATGCTACTTCTATAGCTGCCTCCATTAAGACGAATACAATGTTTCCCCAGTTTTATGTTCCTCGTCAATTTTATAAATGTATGTAGGTGTATTCATGATAATAGTATTTCTAATTGGTGTAGATGTATTAATTGAAGTACTTACCCAAAAAAAGGATGTTTTTTTTTTTTTGATATGGTAATGAATTTCATAGAAGGCATCAAGGAGATGCAAAAATTACAGAGCAAGAATATAAAAAACGACAATGTTAGCTCTATTACAGAAGGACTATTCTAAAGTGAAGGAGCTAACAAAGTCCAAAAAGGTTTCAGGGGAAGTTACAGGGGACAGGTTGCTCCAACTACGAAGACTTGTTAAACATCTGGTTTTAAGAATGTAGTTTAGAGTAGACATGCCATCAAAACATCTAGTATTTCTTTCTGTCCAGATACACCAAAAAATACAAGCAGGGAGCATCTTCCATACTTTGCTGATGGATTTTCCAACCTTCCATGAGATCCAGCTAGCATCTTTTACACTCTCAGACATAACCAAAAAACGGATGTATTTAGTGAAGAATACTTTCTTTCCGCGTAGCATATTGTTCTTTTCAATCTGAAAGAGCTGCGTGGTTTTGCCCTTTGACAGTTTACTTCTCAAGTTCTTTGATGTAATAATTTAAAAAATTTCAAGATCCAAAGCTAATAATTCTTTTTGAGAAAAGGAGCTAATATAGTAATTTTTTGTTCTATCTCCACCAATAAAATCACAACTGATACAATGCTTTTAGTCTCTGTAAATAAATTGATACATTTTTATTGTCTTAAACTACTTAAAACTTTAAAGATGCGGTTGTGGACTCTTATCTTCAATGAAATTTCAAGTGAATATCCATGAAACTTCTTCTTGTCCTATGTCTGGCAAATTGCACTATACTTTTTCTCTGACAATCTTAGTCAATCTTAGTAGGCTGACAATCCTTCGAAAATCACCATCTTAAACTAAGTTTCCACCTTTTTCTTTCAATAAATGTCGGGTACACTATAGTTGCTTTCATTTCCATCTCATTTGTGAATAGTCCTTGTACTTATCATTCAATCAGCTATGCCCGAACCCCTATCAAAGTTGGATTGGCTGTATGAATCATCTGAAGCTGTATGCTTTCTTCAGGCCTAATTATATGCCCGAATTCAGGCCTTAAAGGCCAATTAGGGGTTCTCTAAAATTGAAGGGTCTCTGAATCTAACATTTGTTCTTACGGTCGTATACTAGTATTAACCAGACTAAGAAATCTCTTGGCAAACACCTCCCATAATACAAGTGCACTGACATAACTATACCTTAATACCAGCTAGTTGGTATCATCACCTAATGTGGAACTAATCCAAAAAATATCTAGGATAGTCTAGAATCAGAATCACAATCATAAAGTAAGGTAGCAAGTTTGGGGATCACAAATCGTAACCAAAACTTTAGTCCCTGCTGTTATCATTGTGTTTGGCGGAGACCGGAGATGGAGAAACACGCAAACGGGTTGAGACATCAATTTATCCCATGTGATAACTTCTACCCTGCCCTCCCATGTGATATCCTTTTAGAGGGCTTATAATCTGCACCCTTTTCTAATAAAACCCATGCTGAGATGAACCAGCTTTTGGACAAAATATATTACCCTGTTCAGTCTCTAATTAGACACTTAAGACACGAAGCAACTATCATACTTTAATTGCAGAAGTTGGAGAGAATGTAGAGAATTGGAGAAAACACTAGAACTATGAGAAGTTGGGGAGAATGTACATTTTGTGGTAGGAGTAAAATCATCAGAATCAATTCCTTTAAGCTACCTTGAGTTTGTCTTGATAGTCATCCTGCGAAATATAGGACAAGCGCTGGCTGTACATGAACTATACAGTAAGTAGAAATAGAATTACTAAAATTTTTGGTTCTTAATCATGCTGAACTAACTTAAAGAGTGTATTTATGAAGTTATGTCCGTTTAAGCGTTGCTGGGCTATAAGATTGACTTCTAGGCTCATCCTAGGCTTATCTTTGCGTTCACACAATTGCAGGCGCCAACCATAATTTTAGCTGCCCAAGTGGATGCATATTCTTTTATTCATCTTGTTGATGTGAATGCTTCTGAGAATTTTTTGTTTTGATCCCCTGCCTCTTTATATTTTTGGGAAATTAATAATCTCTGTAGTTAGTCTTATTAAAAAAATAATTTCAGTTGTTAGGGTGTGCTTATGTACTGTTCTTTCGGGAGCCCTAACAATTTATTTGTCTGATTACAGGAGAGTAATCGAAGTGAGATAGATAGAATAAATAGAGAAAGGCATGCTGACTTTGTGAAGATGTTGAAAGGATTCATAACTAATCAGGTACCTCATTGTTTTCTGACTGGTTTCTCTTTTAGATATTGCTAGACTTAAGTTCCATTTCTTGTTTGTTGGTAGTACTGCCTCCACCTGCCACACTCCAAGATAAAAAGAGGGGGAGGGGATTAAAAGAAACAGACAAAACGGAATAAAAGAAACAGGAAAGTGAAACATCCATTAAAGGATTTTGCTGATAGCTGAAAAAGTGATAGTCGCATTTAAGTTTTCATTGTTGGTATATTAGCTATTAAACAAAGAGATTTGTGTTCATCTGCACCAGTGTTTACATGTCTTTTTATGTCAACTAAAATGTTGCTTTGATATATAGCAGCATGATGTCTGATCAATTGAGATGAGTGACATTTTCTGATTGACTAGTGTTGTCACACTTACAGTGCACCAGCAAGGAATCATGGAGGGAGGTGCAACTAAAAGTCTAGTTAACAATGGTGATTAAATTGTAGCAATCATTGCCAGACTTTTTCTTCTTTCTCCTTCTCCTAACCACTGCTTTCCCTTGTTTTTTCATGTGTGTGTTTAGCATTTATTGTCTTACAGATGCGTCAATTCTTAAACAGACACATGGCCATGTTTGATTATGCAAATCAGCTAAGATACTTAAGTAGGATGTGATAAAATTAAGATACTCTCCCCTAACTCATGTTAGACAAAATATCCCATGCTTCGTGTAACTTACCCAGCATAGATGAGTAGATGGCTTTTGCATAGAAAATGACTCTCCCTCTTGGATAATGTCCACATTTCTTTTGTACCAAAAACTAGCGTCCACCGTCGTAAAAGAGTGAATTAGACAGCTGTACTCAATTGCTATTTTCAGGGGACCTACTTTAACTCTAGCCAGTCAAACTGGTTTCTTTTGTTAAATTTTTAATAAAGAAAAGGTAATATATGGTCCCACATGTGTCCTCACCGAATGGACAATGATTCTAATTTTCTGTTTGTCTCTTTCTATATAAATTCAAATTAAGACCCATAGCCCTCGATAACTTCTAGGTTATCAAAAATATATAAATAAATTAAATTAACAAAGTTTACTGTACAACTTCAGTTGATTATTTACACAAACTGGAATTTTTGCCCTTGGGTGTGGTGGGTAATGTCACTCACCATCCTAGCTAAGTTGGCTGGAAAACGAGATGCATTCTCTTCTGATGTAGAAAGTTGCTAAGAAATAGACATCATATGGACGCATATCAAGTGCTAGTTAGAATTTGAAATTTGAAATGATAGATGGGCCTGCCAATAGTTGAAAGGTAAATGGGCTTTGTATATCTTTGGAGGGTGGATGGATGTATTTTAAATTTGGTGAGAAAGGATATGTGATGTACTTTCAAGGTTTTGCACCTCTCAAGCACAAAGAAGAGAGAAAAACAAAAGCACCCCGCTAAAGTTTTTCACAAAACTAGCGAAAGCGTTCTTGGACTTCTTCAATTTCTTGAGATTCTTGGGCCTCAATTGGACTAAGGCTAATTAGTGTAAGTATTTTAAATTCGTGGCCAAATTCTCCAAATCCATTGGCACCTTCATGAGCCCAATAAGCCTCCATTGTTGTAGAAAACATGACCTCCCCTTGTACTTCTCTAACATCAAGATTTGAGCTTGTATGTTCATCAATATGGTCCATAACTTAATTAGTGACGGAAGGAAAGGAAGACACAAAAACCAAAGAATAAGGCCCAAAGAAGGTTATACTAATTGAAAGTATCAAACCCATTCGTATACAGTGTAAGCTAAGATTTTAGCGAGCCTATTTGGACAATGGACCAAGATAATATAGAAGCCTTTTGTCAATACATACATACATACATNTATATATATATATATATATATAGATGGGTGGAATGGTTGAAATAGAATGACAAGGAAATAGAGGTAAGAAAAAGATAATTGTAATGTGGCACAAATGTAATTGGGATCGCAAAAAGAAACAAATTCGTTGTCATTCAGTTTCATTCATTTTGAGGATGTAAATACATGAGTTAAAAGGATACCCTCAGGTGCATATGCGCCATGGTGCAAAAAGAACCAAAAAAAGTTGTAGTAGGAGCTGACCTTTATAAAAGGTCATTAGGACCAGATCTAGTCTGTAGGGGATACTTCTATCTTACAAGATTTATGAAGGAAAGGAACTGGCATCCCTAAAGTGACAAAATCAATGAAGGAATATCTCCAAGGTTATATTATCTCTTGCGAATTACAAGGAGGCCAGTTCACATGATTCATGAGGGCACCTCCGGTAGGTGCTTAACAATATGGTAGGTGCTTCACTAAGGTCTTCTTTTAAAGATGGTGTAGTATAAAAGGAGATATTATTAGGACTTTGGAGCATTTTTATTAAGAGGGCACCTTTTGAAAAGAGCTTTCATATAACATTGCTTTAATTCCTAATGAAAAAGGCGTTGCCGAAATTAGAGATTATACCAATGAGTCTTACTGGGAAAAGCACCTACTAAATTGTCGAAGGCTCTCACCCAATTTCTCAAGAAAAGAAGACATATAGGTAAATTGATATTTGGGAAGCGGAATGCCTTCATCAAAGGTAGGCAGATAATGCTTGCAGTTTTGGGTGCTAATGAATGCTTAGGTTTTAAATCGAGATCAGAAGGTACATGAGTTCTATATAAACTTGACTCGAAAAAGGCATTTGACCATGTAAATTGGACATTTTCTTACATTAGTTAATTGCTTTTCGCATGGAATTCCTAACTATCTAATGCCACTACTACCCAGTATGAGCGAAGTATAGATGCAATTGAATACAAATAGGATATGACTTCCTATGGAAAGAGAATAATGAAAAGAAGAAGATACATGTAAATATAACGATCAAAAAATGAAGACACAGGTGAAGATTATGGAAGAGAAAAACTTTTGTTGAAATTTATGACTAAAAAATATACAAGAGGCTTTTATTAAGGAAATTTAGGCCTCATTTGTTTGCACTTAATATAGGTCTGAATCTTAATCTTTCATATCTTAGTCATTAAGTGCATTTCATATTTGGATCTTAATCTTAATAATTCAGATCTTAACCATCAGTCTATTTGTTTTTTTAGTTTTACAACCACTTAATGGGTCTGAATAGATCTTAATGATTAAGATCTATAACATAGTCTTAATATCATTAAGATGTTATACATTTAAGAATTTATGTAAAAAATGACATTTCACCTTAACTCTTACACTTTCACCACTAACCACCACTGCTATCGCAGTTCCCATCATTATAGACTACCACCACCACAAGCCACCACCCATTACTACCAATACTCAGCCACAACCACCATCGCTTTCAAGCACGAATGTCAGTTGTCACCACCATTAGCCATCATTTACAACCATCACCACCAATCACTATTACCATAACAACCATCGATCACCACTATCAGCCACCACTATATATCACCCATCCTAGTTATCAGTCACCACCACCATCAATCACCGCCGTTAATTACTATTGTTATCCACCATTTACTACCAATAATCACTACCATCAACCAATGTCCAACACTACCACCAACACCCAGTCAGCCCCCACAACCACCACCTTTAGCCATCACTACCACCGACCACAATATAATTTTAAAAAATATTTTACTAATATAATATTAAATTAATTATTATTATTTTGATTGAATTTATATTTATTAATGCTGAAATAAGAGAAAACAAACAGTCTTAATTATTCAGTATTTAGATCTTAATATATTATCTTAATATTCAGATGTGAATTCAGATTCAATGTGAATTCAGATTCAGACGTTTTAATCTTAATACACATTAATATTCAGATGCGTATTCAGATTCAGACGTCTTAATCTTAATAAAAACAAATGAGGCCTTAGAATACCTATAATGATTTGTTTTACCCAATAAGGTAAGTAATTGTTCTGTAATTAAATATAGAATATTTTAGAGTGTCCTATGGAATAGTCTGTATAATTCTCCTTAATCAAGTTGTACGAATTAGATAGATTGTGAATCTAGACATAACTTCATTAATTGGCTGGACTTTGAACATGCCTCTTCAAACTTGATGTGGTAAAAATACCTGAATAGCAAATTAAAATTGGAAAATCAAGTTTAGCATGTTGGATCGACGTTTATCTCTTCATCGCCTTCTTAAGACAAAGCTAATTGAGTATTGGCGCCACTGTGGATACATGAGGAGAAGTTTTTTTGGGAAGAGTGAGCAAAAATTCGATTTGCAGGGAGAATGCTCAATACATAAACTCTTATACAGTAGATTAGAGATACTTTTCTAAACATTGATCGAAAATTTAAGGATCAGAGAGAGGACTCTCTACCATATCATGAAATGAAAAAAAAGAAAGAATAAGAAGCGGTGATGTTGGAATAATCACCAAAAGGATGCGCCATGCCATGGAGCCATCACCTGAAATAAGAGTGCTATCACTAGAATGGTCACTTAAACAAGACAAGAATATTATGAAAAGAAGAAAATAAACTTTATCCTAACAAACAGACATAAGGCCTGATAAGCAAAAGTTACTTAAAGTCTTTTCTGGGATCGTAGAAGCCCTAGAACCATGTGAAGATAATAGAAAGAAAGGTAATTGCTTCTAAACACCAGCAATCACTTGATGCTGGTTTTTGTTTATAAAATTACTTTATAAAAAAACAATAGAGAAGAAAGGAAATAATTTGTTGAATTGATGATTAACATTATACAGTAAGAACTCGTTGTATAGGAATCTTATACTATGTACAAGATGGTAGGTAGTTACTTCTATGAATAATAAGGTAAGTAATTACCACATAATTAAATAGAGAATATTTTGCAATATCCTTTAGAATATTCCATAACATTCTCCTTACAAGTCTAATGAATCTAGACATCTATTATTTCATTAGTTCTTTTGACATCCAACAAACCACTTAGTAAAGTGGTAAAAAATGCAGAATAGTCAAAAGCGGAAAGTACAGAAAAACGTCAAAGCCTGTGGGGGCTTTAAGCGCAAATCGGAATTAAAGGGTTTGGGTATTTATGAAGAAAAGCATTAATGAAGAAAAATAATATACAGGATGAGGTTTTACGGTATTGAAACTGGCGAGGAAGTCAATGAAAAGTTATAATTATGGAGAAGCACATTGAGAAGGATTTTAGGATAAGTACATTTAATGCAAAAAATATGTACGCGAAGTTTAGCCCCATAAGAAGAATGAAGGTAAAGTATGATTATATGAGATTGCGATGTGTAAATGCAAACAATTAAGATATCAAGACTTCCAAGAGCATCATCATAGTATGAAGATGTAACCAATAGAATTGAAATTTGATAAATGAAGAGGAGAGGTGTTGCGTGAGTGCTATAAGATTGGAAGATACCTTACAAAGTGAGAGCCAGATCTCATGGAACAGTAATGTCATTTGAGAGTGAATGTTGGGCTTTAAAGTCTAACATATCTACAAGATGAGTGCCACGGAAATGAGTATGGTAAAAGGAAGTGCGACCATACAAAATTAGACAAGATTATAAATGATTATATCCATCAGAGGATGAATGAAGCACATTTAGATGAACAAATTAGAGGTCACTGGAGATAGACTATATATCCTATGTAGACATCCATATGCACCAGTCTGTAGGTGCAGAAAGAACTTCGCAGGATGTTAGAAGTAGTCGGCCCAGAATGCCTATGTTCTTTCCTAAAAACTATTTCAGATGAATGAGAAATTACGTCCTATGATGATTGATGTGCTTAGAGCAGGTGAAGCAACTCTAAATTCATATGGAGGGTAGTTGTCGCAGGAAACCTATTATTTCTTGAGACGTGTTGGAAAGGCATCATCTGCTTCTATTGAATGGTAAAAGAAACTTAATTGGATTGCTGAAGTCCTAGCAGAACTGGTTTTCCTGGATCAATTTAAATAATTTCCCTTACTTTGAACTGAGAACTTCTTTCTTTTTCTTTCTTCAGCTAATATTCCGGAGTCTTACAATATTACTTATCGTGTATTATAAAACTTGCTTTAAATTGAGAACTACTTTCTATTTCTTCCTTCAGCTAATATCTGATACCCCTACTATTGCTTCTTATGAGTTTTAAAACTTCAGTACATATATTGGATTTGACATGCTTTAACATTATTGATAGTGATTCTCTAATGCGAAGGCTTTTTCATGAATGTAACAGGTGGCTTATACAGAGAGAATTGGACAAGAGTGGTCGAAAGTTGCAGAGGAGACCAGTCGTTATTCAAGAGAGAATGCATAAAATGTATGCTATAAAACCAGATTTTACCTTTTCCTTCTTTCATTCTCGTTTTTATTGAGGTGTACAGTGGGAACATTAGAGACACATCTATACTCTCAAATTTTCCTGAATTCCCCACTCTTAGGAGTGTCCTCACGCTTAAAAATTGTTTTCTTGTTTCTCAATAGAAGGTTTCCTTTCAGTGTTTTGTATGAGTGATAAGCTGCTAACTGGTAAGCATGAAACCGAATTGCAGTTCTGTGGAAGGATGGCTTATTTTCTGGATAGTATTCATGGCCAAATTGAGGAACCAGTTTAATTGTAATTCAATCTTGGCACCGGTCGCTTTCTCAATGAACTGGAAAGTGTGCAGTGCTTCCTTGCGGCTACCTGCCTTGACCTGTGCCTGTCTTGAACACGAGTGATAACCCTTAGAAGTAGCCTGTTGAAACAAAAGCTCGAGAATAATATATCTTTTCCTTTGAGGCATTACGTGCATTTGCTCCTATAGTTTTTGGATGAGCTCAGTATCCAGATCCTTGTATTTACCAGGATCCTGCTTAAAGTTTTAAGATTCAAGAGCGAAATTACATTTTTGTATCTGTGTTTAAGGGTTATATGTTTTTTGTCTTATTCCTTTCGTTGTGCAGATAATTCTTCGGAATGGAAAATGCTAGCCTCTCAATGATAAATCTTGAATGGAAAATATCAAGTTCCTTTCGCATGGTCAATTTGTTCCGTTTTTTCTTATTTAGTACGTGATTTGGTCATGTGAGGAGCACATACGCCCCGGTGAGGTGTGAGAGGTTGACATTGGAGGGCCTATGGAGAGAGGTAGAGGTAGGCCAAAGAAGAGGTGGGGAGAGGTGATTAGGCAAGACATGACACAACTTCAGCTGATCGAGGACATGATCCTTGATAGGAAGGTATGGAAGGTCGAGGATTAGGATAGTAGAGTAGGTAGTCTAGAATGTTCATAACAGTAGTATTGGCATGCGGTCTCACTTTCTGTTGGTAGTAAGTTTTTATGCCTAACCGTTGTTTTCTTTCATTGTTGATCACCTTACTGTCTTGTTTTTATTCTGCTTTTATATGGTTTTTTGGTATTGTCCCTTGTCTATATTTTCATTAATGTGGTGCTTATGCTTTCTTGAGCTGAGGGTCTATTGGAAACAACCTCTTTATCCTCACAAGGTTTGCCTACACACTACCCTCCCTAGACCCTACAATGTGGGATAATACTGGGTATGTTATTTTTTTCTGTGCGTGTGACTGACGTGCGCCAGTTGACGTTAATCATGTGATATGCATACAATTCTTTAAATATGGTATTGGCATTAGTATCGGCAGACACAAATCATGTCAATTTGTGATTTGGGTTGTTTGAATTATGTGCAAATAACCTTAACATATAAATTTAACAGATAAAATTATATATAATCATTAAATATTACTTTCTCTGTTTCAATTTGTTTGAACTTATTTGACTGAGCGCGTAGTTTAAGAAAAAAAAGAAGATTTTTGAAACATGTTGTCCAAAATAATTCATAGATATTTGTGGTTATAAATCATTTCATTAAGGGTAAAATGAGAAGTTTAAAGATATATATTCTTTTCAAATTAAGAAATGAGTAATTTTTTTTGAAGCTGGCTAAAACGGAAATAGGTTCATTCTTTTTGATATGTATGGAGTAATTTTTTTTAAAAACGACATGAAACTATTTCTCAAATTTTATAGTGGATAACACCTAATCCCTTGATTTTAATACTTGCATTTTGTTTCAGTGACAATATTAAAAATACTAAACATGTCACATTATGATGTCTTTTTAGCATATTAGATCATACTATTTTAATAAAATTCTTATTACCATAAACATGAGACTTTCCTACAAGACTTTGGGATAAGTGATTTCTACTCATTTTTAGTATTATTTCAAGAATCTATATGGATTATTAACACATAAATATGAGATTTTGAGGAAAATTTGGGGGTTTTTCTACAACTTAAGAGAGTGGAAATTGAAGTTTTGGGAGTCGATTTGGATTCGGTTTTGGAATCTCATCACCCATTTGGACTTGTGGGTTATGGGAAGTCGGGATCTACCCCATTCGCTCGGGGTTTGACCATGCGGCCTGAGTTGACTTTTGTTGACTTTTTGGGAATTTAATAAAGATCGAAGCTTTATTGTTTGGAATTGATTCCTATAGCCCTGTTTGACGTTATTGAGTTATTTTTGGCTAGATTTGACCCGTCCGGAGGCCGATTTGAGAGGCAAGGGATTTTTGGAGTATCGATTCTCGCGCATTTGAGGTAAGTATCTTGCCTAAGCTTGGCTTGAGGGTATTTTCCTTTAAGCTATGATGTTTCTATATGTTAGGGGTGACACATATGTGAGGTAACAAGCACATATGCGGGAGGCGTGGTTATTCTTGATCCGAGTAGATCTTAGGCTATTATATGCCTTGTTTTGCGATCATTCCACTTTGATACAATGTTTTCACCACTTGTTTGACTATGTGAGCTTTTATTCATGCTAAAAATTATGGTTAAGTTATTTTTTATCTGTTTGAGACATGATATGGCTATTTTTGCTTTGTTAAGCTATTTGCCTTAGCCGTAGTCATACTTTTAAGTCATGATCTTATAGTTATGTGTTATATCTCTGTCTCTATGCATTCTTTATATGTTATCTCACATGTTACTAGTGTCCTTGTGTGTGTGACACATGTTTGAGCTGAGTTGTGGTACGTTAGTATATTCCGTGCGATATTTTGATCATGGTATTATGATATGTGAGCATATCGAGACTTGAGGTGATCGATGACTGATCATGGGCATTAGAGTCGTATTGATATTGATTCTGAGGTGACGTTTGCATCCATGCCCCATATTAGGCTGAGTGGAATTGATTGTTGAGTGTTGATATTAATTGTGAGGGGATTTTGCGCCCCATACTGGGCAGAGTAACATTGATCGTCTACTTTTGATCCGATCAGCGTTTAGGTTTGTATCCACCCCCCCGGAGTGTTACACCCTATGCTTTTGTACGTAAAAGTATGTCGTAAGTCACTTGATGTAAGCTCGGAAATGAGATTCTCTTTGAAAGTATAAAAAGTAAGTTAGCATGTTACCTTGGAGGTTACAAATATTTAAGATCATGAACTGCAAGTACCGGGAGGTTTCGAAGGTTTAGAAGCTAGATGAATCAAGGAAAATAAGTTTCGTTGAAAGTCGGCAAGTTGAAAATGTTATAACTCGTACTTTTGGGGTGATACTAGAGTGCCTAACATGATAAGAAGATGATTCTATGAAGTATTGTAGTTGTATTATAGTCGTGTGTCAAGTTTTGAGTCAAGCGAGGTATGAAACAAAAGTCGACCAAAGTCTTCTCAAGTTACGTTCATAAATTTAACGAATTTTTGTGTCTAATGTCACTGAGATTTTCTCCCAATATACTTTGATTAACGGGGTAATTCCACCAAATTAAAGATCTACGAGTCTAATTTTCAACGCATTAAACTGTTCATCAATAAGACATAGGAGTAGAGAGATATTTGCATTTTCGCGAGACTGCACAGTCTGGTAGGTGACAAGTAGGTGTGTCACCTACTTGCTTAAATGAAGGGACCAAATAAATCCCCAAAAAAAGGCAGATTGAGGGCGACCAAGGGGCCTTTTAAGGGCTGAATCAACTCATTTCTTTCACTCATTATTTAGACCAAGAACATCAGATTGAACCCCTGCAACTCCTCCCCCAAAAATCCCACACAAATCCTAGGCAATTTTGGGTTATACGAAGTGATTCTAGTGCCGAAAAACCCGGACAACTTGCTAGTTTGCCTTTTCCCTTCTTGTAGCTTTGTTGGGGGGACTGATTTTGAATCAAGATGGACTAGGATTCGTGGGTTCTACTCAGTCCAAGGTAAGTTTATGCTTCTCTTTTCTTTATCTAAGCTTCTACGAGTTGTAGCTCGATCGTAAAGACTAGAACTTGCGAGTTTCGAAAGAGTAGTATGTTGTTGTTGCGTCATTGTTGGCTAGTTGTGAGCTTATTTTTAAGTTGAATCCATGGATGGTTTATATGATAAGAGGCTTAATTATGTACTGTTGGTTGTGTTACTCGATTTGAAAGAAAAGGCATGTTGGAAACATCTTTTAGTAATCTGAAAAATTATTTTTGAGTTGTTGAACTTGTAGGGACTGTTATAGGGTAGTTTTACAGTTGTATTATGGTTGAAAATTAGTAGGGATAATTGAATATATGGAGGTTAATGTTGTAGATAAATTCTAAAAGGGAGAAGAGGTTTAAAACTATAGTGGTTTAGTCACAAACCAAACTTGCCACTCGTACTATTATTTGAATTGTTGGAATTGTTCTTATGTAGTTGAGGGGATGAATGGATAGGATTGGTTGTTGATATTGTTGTTTGGTGCTGTTTTAAATTCAGGGAAGTGAGAAAATATAGGGGATGTTTGGCATGCTTGAAATTCGTGAGGGATGTTAGTACTGATACTCCTACCGTTGAGTCAGTTCCGGTAGTGACAGATTTCCCAGATGTAGCGTTAAGTGACGGGCACCGGTGTGTTAATGATTTGAGGTGACTTTTAGACTATTATGGGATTGGTTGACAATCATGCCTCGTTATATCCATGTTTCTAAACCTGTATGTTTATTTGAGTTCTGATTCATGTTAGAAACCATGTCTAGACTATGTACAATTTGCCTTAGACTCGATAGAGCTATTCTTGCTGTTTATGAGATATTTGCCTTATTTTCACATATGTTCTCAGTCATGATGCTACACCCATGTTTGATATATCTGTCTCAATACTTTCTTATTTGAATCCTTACATGTTGTTTGATGCATCATATGTGTAACATCCTTGAATTACGTACTGTGAGATGTGGTTAACTGAGACTTGATTAATTGATGACTGATCTTGGGCCATATAGCCGATTTGGGATTGATTTTGAGGTGACGCGTACGCCAAGATCATATTGAGCTAAATGTTATTGATTTGGGAGATGCGTGCACCAGGACTCACTATTGGGCTATATAATTTTGATTAGAATTTGGGTAGGATCCGCCCTTCCGGAGTCTGACTTGCCAGCAGTGGGTGCAGGTACACTGTTTTATATACGTGCTTGATGATGGGTAGATATACCAGGCACCCGTACAATGCTAAGTGTGATTATTCTTGATGGATCCACTGTATTATTGTTGATTTGAGATGTAGGCATAGAGATGTACTTTCGTCATACTAATTGGTAAATGAAATGTTTTATCCATGTTGGGCTTTAACTATCATAAATGGAAAGCATGCCCGTTACACCCTATATTTTCGTACGTAAAAGTGCGTCTTAAGCAAACTAATGTAGGACCAAAAATGAGATAATATTTGAAAGTATATAAAGTAAGTTAATCATGTTACCTCCGAGGTTACAAATATTGAAGATCATGAACAACAAGTACAAAGAGGGTTGGAAGGTTCAGAAGCTAAAGGAATTGAAGAAAATAATGTTTCATCGAAAGTCGACAAGTTGGGAATGTTATAACATGTACCTTTGGGGTGAGACTAGGGTGATTAACATGATAAGGAGATTATGTTATGATTTATATTAGTCGTAT